AAATACACCCTTAAATACATATAATACTAAATACGCTTAAATTTGTAAAATTTTAATATTATTATTATATTATATACTTTAAAATTTGTAGACCACTAATATTTTTAATGAAATAATATGGAAAGTTTTAAATCTGAATTCGGTATCAATTAACAAAACAAAATGAAAAATAAATAAAACTATTAAATAATAATTAAAAGTATAAAATCTACTAGTAAAAAAATTGGTTTAAATTAATTAACAGCAAACAGTAAATAATAAAATGATAGATTCTAATAGAAAAAAAAAACTCAAATTACTTCACGACACCGCCAACTAAACAATTGATGACAAAATTGTCTTAAACAAAAATGTTTAATATACAATCCAATATGTTTATGACAATTTAATAAAAATAAGTAAAGTTTTTTTCTTTTATATTGCATTAATGCGTCAGGGTTTTTTTCTTCTATATTGCATTAATGTTTTTTTCTTTTATATTGCATTAATGACAAATCTAAAATAAAAAATTTAACGGATAAGTAGAAATAAAAGTAAAAAAAAACGAAAAGCAAAACAACCCGTCTATTAACACAAAACATCACAACAACGATAACACACAAAAACAGCACACAGCATATTTGTATGAACACATTACATAACTGTTTGTAAGTAGAGTTTGAACCGTTGATCCAAAAATCCACGGGACAAAAAAAAAAAAAAAAAATTACCAGAGAAAGAGCAATAAAAAAAAATCTTTACTGATAAAAAGACATTGTCAACTCTTGTTATTGACTTTCCTTAGTTGTTTCATGTTAACTTTAATACATTTTAATAAAAATAAAAAGCATAACCCTACCAGTTAAAAAGTATATATATATATATATATGATATATTTATTTAATAACTCTTTCGCCAAATGGTTACATTTCTCCCTGACACTAAAGTTAAAAAAACGCACCTCAAAATAATTGATTAAGGTAATACAGAAATATTTTTATAATATAGTTGTTTAATTTGATTAAAGTAATTGAAATTAAAGTAAGAAAACAAACGAAACAATCAACTAAAATAAACTTCAAACTAAAATAAATGGTTTGATTATCAAATAAATTTATCTTTGATTCATAAATCATATTAGTTATTCTTAGTTTTTGCTCCTACTCTTCTAGAAGAAAAAAATTAATTATAGCTAAAGTACTTTTAAATATATCAGCAACAGTACAAATAAAATTTTATTAATAAAAATCTAACAGCAAAAACACTGCCTTCTTCCTTTAATTTTGTGTCTAAACAATGTTAAAAGCATTTGAATGTATAGACGTTAAAATATCAATTACTAAATGTCACATTTAACTAATACCTTTATTAGATATTTCTTGATTAAGTAAAAAATTAAAATTTACTTGACATAAATAAATAAAAAGCTTATAGGTTACTAAGAATTTTAACTTATTTTATTTGAAATATATTTTTAAGTAAAACAAAAGTTCTTGGGCTTACTGAATAAGATTTTAAAAACCTATTCTTTTATTTATCTACATAAACATTAAGTTTATAAACATTTGTGGATATAAACTTATATTTCAACAAATAACAGTCAAATTTTATTTAGTTATAAATGTTTAAAAACATAAGCAAAGTTTCAAATTAAAATAAAACTGAATAGTAAACTTACTCAAATCAGTTGTTTAAACATTTAATTCTTTTTGACTCTATAAGAACTAACTTAAGGCTCAATAAATGAGCCTATTATTGACACAAAAAATTTAAAAAGTGATTTGAAGTAACTAAAGGGCATATCAGCTGTGATTGCTCTGAAAAATAAAATAAAACATGGGTAGCTTGTCGCTTAGTTTTTACGAAGTTCTAAAAAGACTAAGTAAACCACCACCAACAAAGAAATATTTACTTATTGAAAGTGGTTATTAAACAAATTAAATAAAACAAATAACTGCTACTATTAGCGAGTCATTCAACATATACAGAACTTGAAAATAATGAATCATAAAACTTACCTAAACCGCTGACAGTTTGAACTTACTAAAAACGCTTTCAGCTTCTTTTAAGTGTTCTGAAAAAATAAAACAAAACTTGCCTAAAACGGACTAAAAAAGACTGAAGACAAAACTGACACACTGTACTAAAAAAGCTGATTTACCAGCCATTTTAGTACTAACTTCTTTTAAAAAAAGACTCTAAAAATAAGAAGAATAATAACACTAACAACAAGCATTTTTTCTAATTTTTATTGTAACAAACGACGAACAACCTCAAATCCTCTTAAACACCACGAAAAATTCGCCAGCTTAATTTAGTTGCAGGCCTTGTTGGAAAGACCACGTGGAAAAAAGAAACGTGGTTAACTACGTAAAAATGATATATGAGACGTTGAACATTAAACATTGAATGGAATAATTATATTATAGAAAATATGTTAATAAAAATAATAAAAGCGAAATAAAGAATACGATTTTTTTTCAATTTTATTCAAACTAACTTCAGTCAAATTCCGTACATTACGTTTTATTTAATAATACTCTAAATCATTTGCTTGTATTTAGAATTGATAAAAGTTATACCTTCATCTCTCAAAATCTCAACGCATTCTATGTAAACAACGTATTCTAAATAAACAAGAAAAAACACACCTTGAAAGCAAGAATTTCAATCAGAAGATTATAAACTACCAATATAAAAATACTACTCACACACAAGGTATCAAAAAGTTTCTGTCTGGAAGGTATTTGTTTTAAAGCACATGAACCACGTCAAGGTTCCTTCCTATTCACATGTACGATTTTTTTAATGCAGAACGATTGAAAGCATATGACAGAAAAATACACAATCAATTAGCAAACTGCTTATTCTTGCTCATTCTCATTTCTATTAATAAAATGAAAATAAAAGAACAGGGAGTGAAATAAAAATGGACTTTAAAAAAATTCTAAAAAAAAAAGCATAAACTTTTAAATATATTAAAAGTTGAAAAAGAAAATATTGGATATGATAATAAACTTAAGATGTCAAACTTCTAGAAAAATTCTAAACAAAGGTTTATAAACAGTCTATATCGAATGTGATTTCTCTTCTATGACAGTTTAGGGCTCATTTTGATTAGAAAATTTTAACCCAAACTTTTTAACTCAGATGTTTGCTATGTTGATATGCCTATTTTGATAAATGGACACACTCTTACAGAGTTTTCTCGTTTATGTTCTTTTTGATTACCTTTTACTATTCACCACTAATGGAAACTATAAATCTAATTCTTCGCTTATATTTAAAAAATGTATGCACAACCTATTTCTTATTGTATGGAAAATTGTTGTCATTATTAGACTGATTCTTCTAATGATACCCTTTATCATTCAGACAAATTTAAAAAACGCATTACTAATGTAGTTGGACCAAATCAAGCTCCTAATGTTTAGCCTTAATAGCCCCATAGACAATAAGTCTATTACTCTTTTCGACAAATACATTCATGCTTGCTGCTTATCATTTTGATAAGCAGCAAGCATGATTGTATTTATCATTGCAAAATCATCATTTTGCAAAGTCGCATTCTTTTACTGTAATTGTTCTTTCACTGTTTACAGTTATAACACAAACATAAGACACAATAAAAATCTAAAAAGTATTCAGTTAAAAAGGAATAACATTATAGACAACTAAGCAACACGGGTGTGTAATAATGGGCGCAAAATTGTAAATTTGCAACATCTTTAAAACAGGTTAGAGTAATATACGAAAATGAAAATGTGCAAGTTACTTCTATAAGTATTACTCCATCAGAAAAAGATAGCTCCATATAGAGCACTTTATCTAAAAAGTGTATTTTCAGTGGATGTATTTTAGTGGACTAACTGGAGAGCCGCTAAAGTAACAGACCACCAGAGTTTTAAACAGAACACAAACAAACATACAGTAACGAAAAGCTAAATCATGCGATAATGGTGTAGTGGTAGAGCGCTCGCTTCATAAACGAGTGGTTCTGAGTTTGATCCCCACCACGTCCCTGGTAGTACCACGCTCAACTCGTTTCTCCACGCAGAGGCCTTGTTCGTCAAGGTTTGTGTTTTGGAGTTATAGAGTTGAGAGAGGATTATAGCCACAAAATAAGTAGCCTCCTCGTCTGTAGTGGCCTTCTCAGCCTTGAGGAGGTGAAATAAAATAAAAAAAAAATAAAAAAAATCAACACCATGGCATAGGTTTAAACACAACACAAACATTCATATAGTAACTTATGAGCGAGTTAATATTGCGCCAGAGGTAAACAGAACACAAAACATTATACAGTAACTTACAGGTGAGTCAACACCATGCTTAAACAGAACAAACATACATACAGTAACTTACTGGTGAGACAATTCTGCGCTTGAGTTTTAAATTGAACATAACAAACATACAGTAACTTACAAGTGAGTGAATGTTGCGCCAGAGATTTTAACAGAACACAAACAATTATACAATAACTTATGTGTAAGTCAGCATTGTGCAGGAGGTTTAAACCAACAAACAAACAAACATATAGTAACTAATGTCTGAGCCATTATCACGTCAGAGGTTTCCACAGAACACAAACATACATACAGTAACTTATAGATGAGTTAACGTTGCGCTAGTGGTTTAAACAGAACACAGACAAACATATAGCAACTTACGGGTGAGTCAACACCGCGCCAGAGGTTTAAACAGAACACAAACAAACATATAGCAACTTACGGGTGAGTCAACACCGCGCCAGAGGTTTAAACAGAACACAAACAAACATATAGCAACTTACGGGTGAGTCAACACCGCGCCAGAGGTTTAAACAGAACACAAACAAACATATAGCAACTTACGGGTGAGTCAACACCGCGCCAGAGGTTTAAACAGAACACAAACAAACATATAGCAACTTACGGGTGAGTCAACACCGCACCAGAGGTTTAAACAGAACACAAACAAACATATAGCAACTTACGGGTGAGTCAACACCACACCAGAGGTTTAAACAGAACACAAACAAACATATAGTAACTTACAGATAAGTCAACACCGCGCCAGAGGTTTAAACAGAACACAAACATACATACATACAGTAACTTACATGTGAGTCGAAATTGCGCTTGAGGTTTAAACTAAACACAAACATAAATATAGTAATTTACGTGTTAGTCAATATTGTGCCAGAGGTTTAAACAGAACACGAACATACATACCGTAATTTAAATGTGAGTGAATATTGTGGTTGAGGTTTAAACAGATTATAAACATACAATTAGTATGCTTATAATCTGCCATATAAGTGAGTCAATATTGCACCTGAGGTTTAAACTAAACACAAACATACATAGAATAACTTACAGGTGAGTCAACATTGCGCTAGAGGTTTAAACAGAACACAAAAATACATGCAGTAACTTATGGGTGAGTCTATATTGCACTTGAGGTTTAAATAGAATATAAACAAACATATAGTAACTTATTAGTGAGTCAATATTGTGCCAAAGGTTTAAACAGAACACAAACAAAATACAGTAACTTAAGGGTGAGTCAACATTGCGTTAGAGGTTTAAACAGAACACAAACAAACAAAGAGTAACTTACGAGTGAGTCAACATTGTGCAAGTGGTTTAAAATGAACACAAATAAACATACAGTAATTTTTGGGTGAGCCAACAGCGCCAGAAGTTTAAACAGAACACAAACATACATATAGTAACTTACCAATGAGCTTGACATTATTTTATATACTTGGTTTTTCCTTACATTTATTTTTATAGTTCCTCTAATAACTAATAATTGTAAGCTGTTATGCATTCACCAGATAAAGCTGACCTAAAAATGAATTTATAAAAAGCATTCAAAAATTATTCTTTGTTTATTTCGAGTCTATTAATAAATCTACAAACTCAGTTAAACTATATTGTTAAGACAACTTGCAGCTTCTTTCCATGCTTATATTTAAATTCCCGTCTCATTCTGTTATTCACAACACATTAAAGGGATCCCAAACTCCCAACACATGTTGTGTTCATATTAAAGATAATGTTAAAAAAAAAGGTTTGAACCAAATTTTTTGGATTAAAAATAAATAATGAATGCATACCGCGAAAAACAAATGTTGTTTTTTTTGAAGAAGCTCGTCTTCTCCATTTTTTTCAACTACTCGGAGTCTTCAAATTATGCGTCGCAATCTACAGACTTTGGCAATTCCTTTGAAGCGTGTTTAATTCATAAAAGTTTTAGTATTTGACGTCACGGTAGACTTAACAAAAGAAAAGTGTAATCATACTAAGCTGCGTTTTTCTACTGTAGTATTTTTTTAACATACAGCAAAACAAATTTATTTGTATTATTTTTCCAAACATCGTAAAAAGTAAAAACAATAAATTATTTTTATTTTATAGGAGCAACTTATTTTTTACAGATATCTTAATAATTTTTAGATTTATATATCTTACTTATATTTCTTTAATTATTTAAATTAAAACAAATATTAAAGCTTTACTTACCAATCTCATGCTTTTCATACGAGTATTTTACATTATATAGAACGTTTTATATATGGTCTCTTGTTTTTGCGCAAGAGAGCGCAGTATTATATATTCTGATTCTTAATTATTTTTATTTAAACAATGAGAACTACTTTCTAACTTCTCCAGTTATTTTTACACTATGACAATTTTTTGTTTTTTCGTTGAAAAAAAGTATTAACAATTACTTTCATAAACTGACAGTATTAATTAGAGATATTTAATGAATTGTTAACTTTTTTTATTATAAAATTTTTTTGATCACACTGATTTAATTTAAATTGTTAAATTTGCTGAATTGGATACGGATAAAAAGGAAATACCATTTTATTTTACATTTGATTTTTGATAATGAAATTTTTAAAATGTCAGCAACTCCATACCAATTAGAACCTGTTAAGATTATGAAAAAAAAGTACAAGAATACACTAAACAATACAGTTGACAGTAGTATCAGATATGAAAATTCGTGAAAGGATATGTGAGATCCTGATTTTGCATTAAAAGTACAATTAATTGCAACACAAGTCGGCATTATAAATTTTTATTATAATTTTACTGTTTAATATTTTATAACCATCAAATAAAAAACATGAAGTTTGTATATTTTCGCCCGTTTTATACAACTAATATTTAACAAAAATACGGACAAATTATTAATAAATAATGCAATAATTAACACATTAATTAAAGACAATAATTCAAGATAGATGGTAATTTAAATTGTTAAAATGTCATAACGCACATAAAAAAACATTATAATTGATATTTCCAAATTTGTGTCGTAATTGGCATTTGTCTCTTAACATGAAAAATTAAAAAATTTTAAAAACACAATTAACAAATACAAATTTTCAAGCAATTTTCTCTTCCAATTCTCATTTATTCAAAGAAAATTTACTATTAAACTTTTATTTCTCTCATCTAAAAAAAGAACGAGTGACGGAAAAAAAATATATATTCTATACAACTCTTATTCATTCAAAGTTTAATTACGCAAAACTTTTCATTCTCTTTTGTTCTACTCTTTTATAAAAAGAGCACCCGATGAAATAAAAACTTTTCTTTTTTAACATATAATTATAGTTTGAGATAAAATTAAATTAGAAATAAATCAACAATGAGCAAAGCAACGAACAGATTAATCTGGAACTATTTTGATATTTATGAAAATAATCAACATAAACAACATTACCAACAACAGTTATCAAATAAACAACATAATCTCGCATAATTTTAGGGGCATTTTATTTTTATTGCTTAGTCGTTCTAAATAATAAGTAAATTTAGTTTTTTTACTTACATTTGTTATAAAAAACTTTAGAACCCCCGTCATTAAAATAATTTGTTTTAAATATATTTCGACGTGATTATTTAAACTTATTTTTTTCGTTTGACTTTCCGAATCTTATGCAAAGCAAATTGAAACGAAATATCGTCTAACCAAATAAAAAAGCTGTTACTAATTTTATACGGGTAACTACTGTAAAACAATTTTTGAGATAAATATTTTTTACTTAGATAAATATTTTTAATTTTATACAGGTAATTAATGTAAAACAAGTTTTGAGATAAAAATTTTGAGATAAATATTCATAATTTATAAACATTAAATATATGGCGCAATAACAATTTATAGCAACGAACCAGCATAAAATATTTAAGGTTTTTAATATCTTTTTAAATATTAAAAGTAGAAAAAAAAACAAACTAAACAAATAACCAAAAAAAACTTCGACTAAAAATAAATAAAAACATTTCCAGAGTTTCTTTTGTTAAAAGTCTACCGTGACGTCAAATACTAAAACTTTTATGAATTAAACACGCTTCAAAGGAATTGCCAAAGTCTGTAGATTGCGACGCATAATTTGAAGACTCCGAGTAGTTGAAAAAAATGGAGAAGACGAGCTTTGGCAAAAAAAACAACATTTGTTTTTCACGGTATGCATTCATTATTTATTTTTAATCAAAAAAATTTGGTTCAACCTTTTTTTTTTGACATTATCTTTAATATGAACACAACATGTGTTGGGAGTTTGGGATCCCTTTAAGGGGGTTGCCACAAATATTCTCATAAATAACAATTTTAAAAACCAATGTATAATATGTGCAAACACATATTATACAAAAATATAAAGTAGTTGCTAGTTGCCTTTAACCATGTATATTTAAAATAGGAAAAGCATATTTTAAATAATGAAAGTCTATAAAGATTAAATTTTCTTATATTTAAAACAACTAATTTCTATAGCTGTTTTTAAAACTATATTTTCTAGAAATTAAAAAAATATACTGTATAAATAGTTTATAACTTACTAAATTAGTACAGATTTATCAAATTTCGCATTTTTGATAAGGGCTGTTTCTCCATTAAAAATTTTTTTTTGAGATAATATAAAATGAAAACTGCTTAGCATTTTGACTAATGTTTGATTTATAACTAATTTATCATTTTTGTTGGTGAAAATAATTCTTTTTTTTTACAAGCTAAACAAATCCATGACTTTTCAGCATTAATTTTATTGAATATCTCATCAGATATATTTTCACATTTTTTATGGTACCATTCGCTGCACATATCACATTGTACCATATGAAGATTAGTATTTTTTGCATGATACCATACCCAATTTGAACGGCATGAGCAAGAAATTTCTAAAGTGATTATTTTTTCTTCATTGAAACGTGATTTTGATTGGCAAACTGGAAAGGCAGAAAAATGTCTTTTTTTAATGCATTCAATAAAATGTTTTCTAACTTTGTCTTTGTCTAGAGATAAAGCTCCAATATCAAATTTGTGAAGTATGTTTAATGCATTAGCAATTGCAAAAATTCCACAATCCACACCATTAGTTTGTTGTTGACATTTGCGTACATGGATAGTTAATATTTTCCCTTTTGTTTTGTATATATTGCATATTTGCTGCTTAACATGATCCTTTACTTGGCCATGGAAAAGACTGTCATAGTAGAAAATTGTGTCTGCTGGACAATTCACATTAGAAATGGTAATCCAATGATATTGCCCAGTATATAATACTTGAACAAAATTATTCTTTTCCTCACGAAACATATATTTTTTACCTAAAATTGTATCTTGAAACCCAGATTGCATATGAAACTGATTCAAAAGAATTTTTTGGGCAGCATTGATACTTATATCTGTCAGCATATCATTGTTTTCAATAGTATCAATTTCAGTTTGTGGTATCACAGGCAGGTTGTTGTCTAACATAATCCATTCAATACTTTCTTCTGTATTATCTGGTTGAAGAATTATATTTTCACTTGCATCTATTTCTTCAGATTTAACTAGGACTCCATGATTTTTATTTACTTCAATTTTTAAACTGCTTGAGGCTCTCAACTTTTCTGCACCAATTCCATGCCGCCCTGAATATAATGCAACTTTTTTTCTTAAGGGAATGCTTAATACTTGCAACTGACGTTTATTATTTTTAACAGGCTGTAAATGAATACCTTGTTCATTTGGAATGCATTCATCAAATGATTTTTTAACTTTTTTTAGAATATCTATTCCATAATCTAATTTCTCTTCATTTTCAACAAGGTATGATTCATTAATTAACTGTTTTGCTAGTTCTCGAAACAAGGATGCCTTAGTGTTTAGCCACTTATTTTGTTTGGGAAGTAAATCGAATGTTTTTATGCTACAATCTGCTTCTCTGTCTTCTACTTTGTTGTTTGTAAGTAACAGTTCATTTTGTGGTAATAAAGGTTTTCTTTCAAAAGAAATTTCTTTATCCAAGTTCAAAAATGGTGAGTAAATGTATAATTGGGATAAATTGTACCAAGACCATGAGGGAAATTTATTAAAAACTGCAAAGAAATGCTTGCAAAGATACCCAGTTCTTTTCCAATCTTGGCAAGTGCAATTCGGCATAGTGACTGAATCGCCAAAGCTAATATGATGGAACTCAGCAGAGTTTGCAAAAGATGAACATGCAAATTTTCCTGTCTCTTTTACAAAAACTCCAGACAGATCAATATGCGAAGCTAGAGACATCTTTTGCAAGCAATGTTTAACAAAGTGTCTTGGTCTATGATGCAAAAATGTGGGTAAGTATGAACTATATCGGCGGAAATTTCCACTTTGTCTTGTATTAATTTCACAATACCTAAATGAAAATGTGTTTTAATATGCTGTGTCAAAAAATAGTGTAGCACTAGTATTTGTTACTTAGCAAATTAAGTGAAAAATTTCAATGTTTGTTCACTTTTAAATTTTGTTAATGGTAGTTTACCTAAATCAAAACTTAAAATTTTTATAAAATTAAAAAAAAAAATTTTTATGTCGGAAAATCACTAGAGTAGACTATCAAAATGTATATTAAAGTATATTTAAGATAAGTTGTATTATTTGAACTTTTTTAACTTTATATATAAATAGTGAACAAAACAGTTAATATAGAACACTTTTGTATATTTAAATAAAGAACCTTTGCATTATTTTGATAAAACTATATTTAATATAGTTTTATCAAAATAATGCATAATGCATAAAGATCATAAGATTACTTTTTTATTAATAGCCTATACTATTACTAAATATTCTCTTCTATATATAAAAATAAAATGAAATACTAACTACCTATTATATAAATCTGGAAAGTAGTTTTCAATAAGAATAGTAAGCATGGTTGATAAACAAGAGTTACTATGCTTTTTCAGATATGAATGTTTGAAGGTTTCATTTTGACGTTCAACTCCATTGTTAGTATTGATACTGATCATTAATCTGTCTTTACGATATAAGTATGCCCACCTCTATAAATAAAATGGTACAAAATTATATATGAATTTAGTGTAGAACTTGAAAAGAAATTTTAAAGTAAAATAAAACCTCAATATGTGGTAACCATTGCTTTTCAAGCCAATTAAACATATTTTTGTGGTTTGGATTTAAATAATGTTCACATTTTTTTAAGTTTTCCAGAGCTTTTGCTAAATCAACATTTGATTGAGCTCTGGCAACTTTCCTTAACTTGGCTAGCATTTCTACTTTAATGTTACTGGCACCATTATTTACTTTATTAAACCAACGTTCCCACGCTTGTTCCCGATGAAAGTCACATATGAGAACTTGGCACTCTAAAAAATTTGATATACGAGTTGAAACTTGATTTACTTAAACATAAAACCACTCAAATATAAAATGATTCAGCAACTTGGTGTATTTAAAGCAATTTCAAAATATTATAGCCTCTGTAAGATATTTCATTGACTACAACATATTTTTGTTAAATGATCAGGTCAGTAAATTATGAAAAGATGAAAAAAACTAAAACAAACTTTGCGGTATCATAAAATATAAATGTTTATAGCAAAAAACCCTAGACCGAAGATTTTTTTTTTTTTTAATTTTCTTAAATTCACAATCATTGTCGAAATTTTAAAAAGGTTTTAAATACGTTTTTTAGGTGAAATGAACATTATAGTTTAACAATATAATCTGTTCTGATTGATTATTGCCAATTTTTATAAATTATAAGCTCTTTTATGGTCAGAATTCTAGTATTTTTTGTGAAAATTGATAGAAATATTGTGTTTTGACAATTATATATAGTTAATATACGTCAGAACTAGTGATTTCGCCGGTTATCCGGCTTTGTGGTTAATCGGATTTTGCTCAAATATCAAATATCTATTTTTGAATAATAAAAACCGACTTAAAAATTTTACGAAATTTTATAGAAAGTAACATTGTAATTATGATGATTATTGTTTGACAAATGTTAATTTATCAAAGATTATATTTCTTTTATTAATTTAAATGTTAATTTAATCAGTTTTGTTTGATAATATATTCTTAAAACAAATTACAATAGAAATCTCAAAGATTTATTTATTACTTTTACAACTCAAGCAATACATTTTTAAGAAAGTTTCTTCAGAATATTATGGAACTCTAATTCGCTTATTCAGCGTATTTTTTGAACCAATAGAATTTGTTTATTTGTAGATTTGGCGGTATTTTAGTGTTAGCAAATATTCTTTATATTATCTTTACGCAACAAGTTGTTTTGAGAACATTCAAGTTTATCTTCAAGTTTCCATCTATGTCCGCATAACAAAAAGTTTTTAAAATACACGCTTAAATTTACTTCATAACATCTCATTTTTCCAAATCAAATGTTTTTATATGAGAGAATGATTTTAAAACATCCGCTCATATTAAAACATTTAAACTTTACTTGTACATTATTCCTACCTTTTTTAATTATATAATTAAAAAGGTATATTATATTATAATATAAAAAATATATATATCTTTTTCCATGTTTTGTTATATATATATAATTGTATATAAAAATATATATTGTACTCACTGTCTTAAAAATGTACACTTTAACATTAATTTTTAAAAAATTAGTTTAAAACGCTACATTTGTTGAAATTTAGAAGATCCTGTATTCAGAAAGTGTCACTAATTTACCGAATAGTCGGTAGCCGCAAATTGATGAGAACTGTTATCCGGTTTTTGAAACGGATAACCGACAAAACCACTAGTCAGAACCGATTAGAACTAAGATTAATAGTAAATTAAAGAACTTTTTCAAAAGATTTTAACTAAATTCATGTTAACCCTGATGAGCAGAGTTGATCAAAAGACGCAAAAATGGTGTTCTTTAGATTCACTATTATGGGTAGTAAAAAGGTTTAGAAAATTATATATTTAAATATATATATTATAAAAAAGGAAAAGTTTCCTTAGATATTGAAAAAACCTAAAGCAAAAAAAAAATTATAACATTTGAAGCTCTTTTTTGGACATAATACGCTGAAAAAACCATGCTTATACCAAATAAACGAATTAGAATAACTTGTAAATTGCCTTAACTACACCGAGAAGGGGAATAAAATATGCAGCTTATTAAAATCTTGAAATACCTTGATGTAAAGACTCAATAGCATTAATTTCTTCAGCACAACAATCAACCATAAAATATAAAGGATTCCAATTAGGATTCCATTCTTTTATTTTAGCAAGACCACTTTGAATATTTTTCGTTGACTCTCCTTCACAAATAAAGGTACCTACTATCTGATAATCGACATTTGTTTTTACAACAAGAAAAAAGAGTGGTAAAGAATATTTTGTTGTTTTGTAAGTGGCATCCAAAAGGGTAATTTCATTGCCATATATTTTTAACAACCTCTGCATTTCTTCAGTTTGATAAACAAATAAAAAACTATTGCTTAATGCTTCTACAACAATCTCATCCTCATCTTCGGTGCTTTCGACAGCTGAGCATTCAACTTTGACTGCATCTATATATATATATAAATATGTTTATTTAAATGTATGTGCATGTATAAATATATATATATATATATATATATATATATATATATATATATATATATATATATACACATATATATATACACATATAAATATATATATATATATAAATATATATATATATATATAAATATATATATATATATATATATATATATATATATATATATATATTTATATATATATATATATATATATATATATATATATATATATATATATATATATAATATATATATATACTCCTAGTCGGCGTTTATGGAGATATGTTTTTTTTGTTCTCGTTATGTTTATTGTTTTTTACTTTTTTTTATGATTTTTATCATATTTATATATACTTTGAAATTTTTATTTTATTTTAATTGTTATATATTTAAATTTATTATGAAATATATTTGTTATATTTATTTTTGAAATTTTTATCTATTTATTATGTATTATATTTCAGATTATTTCAATCTATTTACAAAATCAATTAATTACAGTAACGAAACCATATTTAAACCTTGTTCTAACCCTAACCCTATACATTTGATGCTGACCCTAACCAAATCTTCAGTCAATGTAGCAACACTCCCTTGCGAGTCAGGCTATATGACAGGGTTGGAAAAAACACATGGTTTTTAAAAGAAAACCTTACCCAAATGGGTTTTTTTTAAAAACCGATCAAAATACCAAATTTTTATAATTGTTTGAGTACAATAATTTTTTTTTTAATTTCATAAATTCACCTCCCGATTTGCTCCAATGACCACTTCAGTCAAGGGAGCAACTCATTTTTTAAAAAATATTTTGTCTCAATCATTACCATTTTTACTAACAAACAGCATTAACAACTAAAATTTTTATAAAAAGCGTTGTGCGGAGAAATAGATTGAGGTAATTTGAACCCCTAGCTTCTGATTGCAATGCAAATGTTTTACTACAAGTCTACTAGCACATTTTACCCGTAGTGCAAAAGGGGACTCCATCAACTATAAATGATGTTAATTAATTGCATTAAATTAAAAACATGTTCACAATATTTTTGACTAAAAAAAATTACTATAAAAATTATTATGACAATTGAGTTATTCAAAGTTAGTAAGACAATATAAATGTTGCAAACTAGTTTTTTTACTAACATGTTCAACATATCATTTCATAAACTACTTTGCACAAGCTTACAACATGTAATCAATAAATTTGCAACATGTTGCAACCTTGTAAGTTATTGTCAATCAGGATGACTATGAACACTTTTTAAGCATTTTTGCATCATAGAAAAAAACTGTTAGCCTAATCACTCAATTTTTCTCAATCTTTTAGAGGTCAGGTCTTTGTATCAAGTAATTTTTATCAGGTCGGTAAAAATTATTTAATACAAAGATCTGACCATTTGAAACGAGGTCGGCTATTTTTTGCCAACCTAAAACACTTTCAGGTCAGCAGTTAGGTAGGCATTGCCGAATGCCCTAATTATGAGGGTTAAATATTTATACATATATATATATATATATATATATATATATATATATATATATATATATATATATATATATATATATATATATATATATATTTATATATATATATATATATATATATATATATATTTATATATATATATATATATATATATATATATATATATATATTTATATATATATATATATATATATATATATATATATATATATATATATATATATATATATATATATATATATATATCTTAGGTTGGCTCATAAAACATCATTTATTGAAATTGTCTGCTGGTACCCCAAAATGTATTCTATGTAATAAATTAATACTAAATGAAAAAAAATTTGAATTAATTTTTTTAAGGGTTGCTTCATTACTTGAACAAGAATCTTAAAAATTAGATTTGTTAAATGTTATATATAAAAAAAATATTTTTTAAATTTATGTTAACTTGGGTCTTATTAGAAACCAAACTTAAAAAATAATAAACCCTATGAAAATAAATATAAAAAAAAATATGAAAAATTCTTTTTTTTTTTTAGGTTTCGTTAAAAAATTAGTGCTAGATTTAGAAGTTTGATTTTTTGAAATTAACAATTATTTCAAATTTTGAAATGTAATGCAATAATTTATAATTGAGACTTTAATTTAATGAAAAGCATAAACATAGTTCTACAGTAGCTTTATACAATTTTAAACATGTATTAAACAATTATAAACATGTAACTACTATTCATGAAATACAATCCTTTATTTTCATGAATAATGTGTATATTCACACATTATTCATGAAAATAAAATATTGTATTTAAAAAAAAAAAAAAAAAAGAAACGGTTAACAATACATTTTTTTTGTAGAAAATAAAATGTTATCAAAATAAAAGAACAGTTATTTATATAGCGCATTTAAATTTTTTTTAAGTATTCACCCTAATCTGCACAACAAAAAAAAATCTATAAAAGCTTCTTTTTTAAATATAGTGTTTAAAATAAATATAGTGTTTTATTATTTAAACATGCACAAGGAACACAAGGGAAAAATATATATACACATTTAATTTGTATATCTTGGTGAAAATTGAAGTTAAGTAAAGAGAGATTACAGTAAAATACTAAATACATACAATTTTCACTTATCCCTTTAGGTCGAAGGTAAATTCTTCTGTGAGGATTTTCAACTTTCCATTGTTCTACTTTTTTTATAAGACATTCTTGGTCAATATTTGAATACCTTTTCTTTCTTATCGCTTCCAACATGTAAGAACGAATAGTTTTTTTGGATGGGAAGAACCTTTTATTTGATTTAGATGGACATATACTTTTTTTAAAAATTTCTCTTGTCACAATGATTTCTAATCTCCTACGCATTTCATCAACACTAGTTATAAATTCAGACGATGTAAAGATTTCTTCTTTTAATCTTGCATCAATTGGCTGGGATATACCAGCAGCCTTGAAAAAAAAAAAAAAAAAAGAATCATCAGAAAATTTAAACAAAAAATGTAAAAATCTGAAGATAGTTTAAAGGGTGGTTAGTTTTAATAGAAAAAAAAAATTAAATAAAGGGAATAGTCACTTGTTGACTGCCTATAATTAAAAAAAAAAAAAATTTTAACAGAAAAATGATTAAGATATAAAGTAAGTAAGTAATAAAGAAAAGATCAACACTTGACTTTAACACTGAAATAAAGGAAATAAAAATCAATTGTAAATATAACAATATAATTTTATACAACTTGTGATTAAAATTAGTTATTGGTAAAATCAGATGTTATAAAAATTATTTACATTTCCAGTAAAGTGTCCAGTGTGAGAACTCATTGATGGAAGAAAAATTAAAAATATTTTTTGTCCCACTGCTTCATTTTTTGAAATTGCTTCTCGAATTTTTTTGGAGGAGGTTACTCTTTTCCATTTACTATCTTCTATAATCTAAAGAGATATTGCACTTTAAAAAAATTCACTAACGTAAACTAGTATTTTTTCAAAAAGCTATTTAATATTTTTTAAAAAGAAAAAAAAAAGATTCTTTTGAATCATTAAGCAATATAATATTATAGGCATAGGAATTAGGAACCCTTTTACTAACATTTATTATTCAAATATTTATTAATGTTAATTTATTATTTTCTAAATTAAATAAAACTAATATAATTTAAAAAAAATAAAACCTTAAAATCTGGAAATTTTAAAACTTCTTTGATCTTTATTTGTGAACTACAATTAAATTTCTTTGTGTCCTGGATCATTTCATAGCTTTTAAAGTAACTGTGATCAGATACCTATTATTATTGTTATAAACATTTAGTTTATATTGTTTAAACAAATATACACTACCAAATATAGTGTATAAACATGTATTTTATCTATAATTGAATCATTAAAGTTTTCAAATTTATGATATACTTATATAATATATAACTATAAATAAGTATATGATATACCTTATATAATTATTTAAATATAAGTAAATATTGCACATTCAAGATACCTTTCTATCATTGCAACGCATTTTATATTCTTCTTTAAAAGATACTTTTCTATCTCTTCCATGCATACAGTCAAAGACTTTACTTCCTACAATCACGAATGGAACACCATTAAAAGGTACAGAGTCGTCCTCCCATCTTATTTTATGGTGTTTGACAGAAGCTTCTTTAAACATATAAAAAAAACATATTTAAAAACAGGATAAACAGGATATTTACTAGATTTTTTAATAAAGTTATTTATTACTCGTTTTGCTTAATACTACAGGAAGAACTATTTTGTTTTAATTTTTAGTTAGATATGTATAAAGAAACCTATAAATATCACAAAAAAAAAAACAATGTGAGCAATATCTTGGCAACTGACAAACTTTTTCTTACCAATTACCAAAGTTTTTGTCAGCAGAATAGCATGAAAACTTTGACACAGTTTCTGTTTCATAGTTTTGAATTAAAGCGAGTATTTCCTCGTATGATTCTGCACATATCCACTTTCCTTCTAAAAATATCATATACTTATAATTACTTTAATAACTCAAAATAATAAAAATAAAATAAAATTATCAATTTTGGAAAAATAACAAATCCACAAAATACATAAAATTATATAATATATATTAAAAATTATATAATACCATAAAATTATCAAATTACCATTAATGAGATTAGATTCTTGTAACAAACTTAAACTCTTATCGTCTCCCGATATCTTATCATATGAAAAAGAAATATTATCCATTTTACAGTTATTATTTTCTACTTAATCCTTCAAGTTAATATAATCCTTTCGGCTATATAAAACAAACAAGAAAGCATGGCCAAAATTATTAATAAATTTAATTATACCAACAAAAAAATAATTATTCATGTAAAAAATAATTATGCGAAATAGATTTACGAGTTTTGCGGACTCTAAGACACCACCTGACTTTGCGGTATGGAAACTTGCACCTACCAAGTTTTTGTTACGTGTCTCTCTATAATATTATTCCGACCTCACGAAACACATTTGCACGTTTCTTTATTCCACATAACCGTGACCCGGATTACACAATACACGATTTGCGAAATTGGATAGTTGACATGCGCAAGTATTTTCAAATGTCATGAGTAAAAATTTGGGAGATAAACAAAACATTTTTGCAAGTTTTAGCATAGAAAATTAATAAAATATGTCGACTCACTGTAAAAGGTTGTTCTAATGGCCAATATAAGTTATTAAAATGGATGGTAGCTATTTGTGAAGAACATGGGGTGTGTAGAGATGATCCTAAATGCTTTTTGTGAAGCGCCGTTCAGGTAAAACAGTTTTTTTCTACAGCAGAATTAGTGCAAATAAATATTGTTTTGTTTGTTGTTTACTCTTATAAGCTTATAAGCTTTTGAAACATAAGAATTTTTCTTTTATTGCGGCATATAATTTTTTTTTAATTTTTTCATGATTTTTTAGTTCTAAATCTTGTTCTTGAAAAGATGGTGAGAAAACATTAAATTTCTTCTTGTTTGCCAAAGCATTTTCTTTATGACATCGTTTTCTGTAATGGTCATTCACAAATAACAGTTCACGAAAAGGTTTTAATTCTAATATTTTTTTATTTGTTTTTGGTATGTTCCATGAGCAAAGTTTATCGGTACATGTTGGTTTTGTTACTCCAGTTGATACTGCTGCTTCTACTCTAAAAAGAAAAGCTACAACATGATTGCAGCTTCCAAGAAGGTCTGCTGTACATGAGCAATATGCACTTGCAATATAACCACCTGGGTTGTTATTTTTTATTATTGCCCATACATTATATTGTTGATCAGAAGTTTTCTGTGAAGGAGTGACTTTAGTTTTAAGCATGCAAAAATTTGAGTTTTTGTCTATGCCTGACCAAAAAATTTCTTTAACAAAGTCACATTTAAAATAACAAAATCCTTTGCCTTCTTTATATTCGCAGTCTAATTTGTGTAAAAGATCACTTAAAGTGTTCATTTTTTGGAGATAAATTGAAATATCGTTGTAATAAACAGGAGGCCATTTTAACATACCATTTTGAGATTCACCTACCCATTTAGTTTTTTTTAATGATAAAGAGTCTGGCATGACGTGCCCATCAATTATAAGTTTCTTCTTGTATTCATTTAATGACACTCTATACTGCTCTTCTGCTTCAATGTTTACAGTAGCCTTTTCTTCCCACAATGCCATTCCTCTAAAAAATATATAAATTATTTTATAAATCATATTATCATATATTTAATGTTTATATTTCTTAAAAATTAATTTCATAACATAACATATATTATTTATATTAACATATTTTCAATAACTATATAATAATAAATTTTTTATTTATTTGAATACCAATTATTTAGACAAAAAAAATAGTTACCTATAAACAAAAGTATCGTGATCACCTTCTGACGATTTCTTTCTTAGCAACAAAAATACTTGAAATGCTTTAATAGACATTACTTTAAAGTCTTTCAATGTCATTTTGTTTAAAAAAGTAGCATCCTCGGGATCATCAAACACTGTTTCAGACATTATTAAAGATTCTTTTGCCCTAATAAACAAAAAAAATTGAAAATAAGTATTATCAAAATTCAATACTTTACTAGTAAATCTTAATGAATACAAAAAGTTCGAAGACTTTTATTGTTTGTTTATTACGGTAAATGTTTGTTTACCTCCCAAAACTTTGCGTATGTCAACTACCCAATTTCAAAAATCGTGTATTACATCAATCTTTCACCCATAAATCATTTGTATTGCTCTAAATAAGACGGTTTACGACGTGCTCGACCTGATCTTCGGTTAATTGACGAGGTTGGTTCAGAAAAAGCACCAGGCTTTTTTTCACTCAAGATTTCGCTTGAACATGGAGTTTCAGTCACTTCATTTGGTTTATCAACATTGCTCAGAATTGGAGTATTTATACTTTCTGGTGTTTCAGTAGAGCTTTCGTCAACCTTTCCCCCACAGCGATTTACAATTTGGTCTACATGTCTTATCTGGATACGACCATCTAACGTTAACACTTTGTAACTAACATTTCGAACTGCTGATATAATTATAGCTGCAATCCATTTTTCTCCTCTACTATTATTTCTGACGTAAACCGCGTCTTCTGGTTGAAAAAAAACGAACTTCATCCATAAAACTGTCTGATAGCTTCTTTTCATTGATTTGAGAGCTAACTTCAGGACGTAGCATCGACAACGGATTTCCTAATTTTCTACCCAAAAAAAGTTCAGCCGGAGACACTCCAGTTGTAGAATGATGTGTAACACGATATCTAAAAAGAAATCGGCACAACTGTGTCTCAATATCATTTCCATGAAAGTTTTTAATTGAATTCTTAAATGTTTGATTTATTTGTTCTGCTTGGCCGTTTGAAGCAGGATAATATGGTGCAGAATACACTGGTTTATTTGGTCTATTTGAATATAAAAACTCTTTATATTCTTTACTCGAAAATCCAGATCCATTGTCACTAACGATAACTCGCGGTATTCCATGGGTTGAAAATAATCTTCTGAGTACCTTTATTGTTGCTTTGGCTTCAGTACTGCGCACCACTTCCACCTCAATCCATTTTGAAAAACTATCGACTACTACCAAATATTTTTTCCCATTCATTGGACCTGCATGATCAATATGTAGTCGCTCCGATGGTCTACTTGGATATTCCCAAGGATGAGACCAGGTTGATGGATTCTTCTGACTTTTTTGATGTCTCACAATTCCTTACTTTGTCCTCTATTTTTACGTCGATTCCAGGCCACCAAACATAACTTCTTGCTAAAGCCTTTATTCTACTTACTCCAGGATGCACTTCATGTAATTCCTCATGTACTGTTCCTCTTAACACACTTGGCACTATCACTCTTCTTCCCCACAGTAAACAACCTCCTTCCGTTGATAACTCAGAAAACCTAAATGCAAATGGTTTCATCTCCATCTTGCTCGGTTCCATCGTCAACCCTCCCACTAACACGCTATTCAGTACCACTCCTAATATTGGATCGTTTTGGGTAGCTCCTCTTAACTGTTTTTCTGTAATTGGGGTTTTTTCTAGTTCCGTCATAGCCACCTCTATGGTTTTTAACCTTGACTTTTCTTTTGATACATCTAAAGGTAAAAGGCTCAGACCATCTGCAGTTGCGTTCTTTTTGCCAGGACAGTATAGTAATTGGTAATCAAAGGCGGAAAATAGCAAAGCCCAGCGTAACACTCTAGCAGCAACTCTTGTAGGAAGTTCTTTACTTTTTAAAAATAGTCCCAATAGGTGTTTATGGTCTGTATACAATGTAAATTTGTGTCCAAATAAGAACTGCAAAAACTAATGCTAATCCTTCCTTTTCAATTTGTGCATAATTTTGCTCTGTTATACTTAATGTTCTCGAAGCAAAACTGACAGGTTTTTCACTTCCATGATGCTGTTTTTGACTCAAAACGGCTTCTACGCCATATGGACTGGCGTCACAGTGAACCACGATTTCATTTGATGGGTCAAAGTGAGCTAATAAAGGTGCATTGCACAATATAGCTTTTGACGCTTTCAAAGGCTTGTTCACAGTTTCTATTCCATTACCGACTTACGTTCTTCCTTAACAAATTATGGAGAGGCTCTGTGATGAAAGCCATCCCGGGTATGTAGACATTGTAAAAGTTGGCCATTCATAAAAATCCCCTCAACTCCTTGATATTTGTGGGTCGAGGAGCATTTATTACTGCTTCCACATTCCGTGCTATTGGTTTACAACCTTTCTGACTAATTATAAATCCATAAAACTCCACCTCAGGTTGCATGAATGAGCACTTAGATACTTTTAGCGTCAGACCTGATTCTTTCAAAATTTTTAAAACAGATTCTAAGTTGTTCAGATGCTATGCATCAGTTTTCCCAGATATAAATGTCATCTACTCGCACTTTTACAAATGACAGTCTACCCAGCCTCCTGTCCAGTCGCACTATGAAGACCAAATTGAAGACAAGTTGGCTGATACAACTCTTGGTGAGTATTTATAGTTAAAAACTCTTGCGAAGTTTCATCTAATTCCAGTTGTTGATAAGCTTGAGACAAATCAAGCTTGGTGTATCTCTCTTCTCCTGCAATAGTGGCTAACTGATCCGTGGTATTTGGTATTGGATAACTGTCAACTGGGGCTGCTTGATTTACTGTAATCTTATAGTCTCCACATATTC